CAATATATTCATGTTAATGTTTATTTTGTTGAAAAGATTTTAAAAATAAAAATTTTAAATCATATTTTATTTTTCCCATCTATTTTATTGGAAAGCCATTTAAACATAATTCTGAATAACATAATAACAAAACCATAAATAATACCGTCCTAGCTCTGTTGACTTGTAGGCCCGGCATGGCTAGGTGGTTAGGGCCCTCGACTCGTAATCTGCGGGTTCGAATCCCCTTCCCACCAAACATGCTCGCCCTTTCAGCCGTGGGGGCGTTATAATGTGACGGTGGGTGGTGATGACTTGCTGCCTTCCCTCTAGTCTCTCACTGCTAAATTAGGGACGGCTAGCGCAGATAGCCCTCGTGTAGCTTTGCGCGAAATTCAAAACAAACAAACTGTTGAGTCGTTTTCCATTTTGTTTAGGGTTAATGATATGGTTTACCAAAATCCGTGTAACCGTATGAGACCGCGAAACGAAGAATAGGCTTAAGGCATAGCGTTTCTTTGACGAGAAAACAACAACAACAGTATTACTTTAAATGGTTTTAATTATTTTCTTTGTTTATTAGATTTCTTTTGAAATGTATTACTGGTTATTTTACACGTGAAGTCGTTTCAGAATCTTACTTTAATGAATGATTCCTAACCACCATTTTCCACATATAACTTTGTGTCAATTCAAGGAAATTACAAATCAAATCTAAGATAATTTCTTTCACTTGTCACCGTACAAGAAAAAACTAACAAAATATATAAAACACAAGAGTGAATAATGCAAAATCAGAGGCATAGCTAGGTGCTTAAAAGATTCGGGACTCAAGTCTATACGCGCGGGAATTTTTGAGTATGACATCGATCATGGTTTTCTACTCTGAATTTTCAAAACATTAATTGAGGATAGGTGGCACTGTGAAGTAGAAGCGGGGCACGGGCCTAACGACGCAAAATAATGTTTTAAGTATTCGTCTGCGTGAAAAAAACAAAAATAGTATTATACATACTTAAAACGCAAACGAAATTCAAGAAAATACTAAACATAAAAGGTAAATTAAAACAGGACGAAAAATATTAAAGTTGCTTCTAGGCACAAGAGGGGATATTGAGAAAATACAAAACAAAAGAAAAAACACGAAAATGACAAAAAATGAAATATCGTTGTTAAATACGAATGTTCTAAGATTCAAATGAAGTAATAAGAAAATGATATACGAAACAAAAAAAAATAAATAAAAGGGAAATGACGATAAAACATGGTTGCTTTAAATTAGGCTGTCCAACAAACAGGAAAAGTCTGGTTGTTTTGTAATTCATGATAAAACATTTTAGGTATAGAAATCAGACCAAAATCCAGTAATCATTTTATAGATATAAGTTATTCATTTAACTTGAAATATGGTTGTTTCATAAACGTGTTCCCGGTGGGATAGCGGTAAGTTTACAGGTTTACAAATCTAAAATTTGGGGTCTGTGTCCCCGCTGTGGACACAGCAGATAGCCCAATGTGGCTTTGTTCTAAAACAAACAAATAAAATCTCAAACAATATGCTGTATTTTTCCTGTGACGTTCAAGTTTTGTGTACTGATATTTTCGGTTTCACGGTTCTGACACTAGTGTGTTTATTTTTGTCAAATAACAAATTAATTTTTATGCCTTCATGATTTTCTGTTATAAATCTTTAAATTATTTTTTTTTAATTATAAAAACCTAAATTTAAAAGTGGTGTTACAAAGTGTCAGTGTACAAAATATGCTAACAGGGTTAATATGAATGTTGGATATACAAGACTGTATAGTGTAGGCATTATTATTTATTATATTTTGTGAGTTACGATTTAATGATTGTTGTGTTTTTCATAACAAGAGAGTTAAAAGCGATTATTTTAAGGCAATAGTTATGACAAATTTGGTTACTTAAGTCGGTAAGAGTCGTATGCTGTGTTTGCAATTCATTGGTGTCGAGGCTATAGAAAATTCTAGAGGCCTCAGTGATAAACATACAAATAGCGGCGACCAAACGAGCGGGAGGGGAGTAAAAGCGAAGTCAAGAGAAGTTCAGTCAGATAAAAGTTAGAAAACGTGAATTTAGCTGTCGTGGGAGTGAATAGCCTTAACGGTTTTAATGTGAGATTAAGAGTTTGATAGAGATAAGAAGAATAACTGGTCTTGTCAAAGGGTGTTCTAAACTAATTGAACCCGTATGTGTGGACTAAAAGAATAAACTCATTGGAAGTTCAGGATACAACTGTGGTAACACACGAGGCAGCGTAAGTGAATTATTCACTGATACTACTGTGATAAAGTACAGAAAAATAGTTCGGTTTGTCAACTGGATTCTAAGCAATTGAATTAGCCTAAGTGGACTTTTGACAAGAAGATGAGAACTGTATAGTGTTTAAGATCGAACTATGATCTCCATAGTGTAAATAATTTTTGTACATACTTGTAACTTGTTTCGAATATACATAAAAATATTTTAAAA